ATGATGATGATGATGATGATGATGATGATGATGATGATGATGATGATGATGATGATGATGATGATGATGATGATGATGATGATGATGATGATGATGATGATGATGATGATGATGATGATGATGATAACAACAACAACAACAACAACAACAACAACAACAACAACAACAGCAATAATACTGAAAAACAAATACAAAGAATATGTATTGCTTTAAAAAGGAATTTAAGCATTATGATACAAAACAATCTATATCAAAACATCAAAAGTTCCAACATTGATGTTCTATGGCTAAGTCCACAAGTCTTCCCTGCTGTTACATTCCCATTAAAAGGGGTTTGAGAATGGCTAGCTACAGAATATTTATAGTTTATGGTTGAGTTTAAATATATAGGTTCTGGTTATGTAGGTTAGATCGAGTTGCAGGCTAGCCCATATGGCTATGGGTACATGCACTGTCCGCTGTACTTTTTTGTGATTTTTGATAAACAACATGGCTCCACAACAGCTCAGATATCAAGAAATCAATTTATAGGCTCTTTTGATTTCCCTATTCCTAATTTTTTTCTAAAAAAAAAAAAAAAAAAAAAAAAAAAAAAAAATATATATATATATATATATATATATATATATATATGTATATATATATATATATAATATATATATATATATATATATATATATAATAACAATAATAATAATGATAAAAATAAAATAAATAAACAAATTTTTTCTTCTTCTTCTTCTTTTTAATGCTATTAACATTACAGCAAAATCAATACCAGTTGTCTCCTTGGTGACAAAGCCCTTTTGGAGCCATTTATATGTAAACACCATAAACCACATGGGACATGGCATATTATGCCATACCATCCCAACACTATGAGCTAGGGTGATGGGATTATTTGTTGGGGTGTCCACTCACATTTTTTGGGTGGGTAAATACTTTGGCAACATTTGCTACTCATCGGTGCAGTTTCTGAGCTTCAGGAAGAGTCAAAAGCCTCATCATACATATTCTGGTGGGACACAACCCTTTAGATTAACTTGGCAATATACTGTTCTTCAGATACCAGTCAAGCTATACTGCCAGAATATACACAGTGAAGATTTAATGGCCTTTGCTAAAGGAGTCTGCTTTGATTATTTGAAACTGCAACAAAATCAGGTTCACCTTAAGGTTCACTGCTGACTATTTCCCACAATGCTATTACCTATGTTCTGCCTAAATTTATGTGGAACATCCAATGATCTGAGATGAGAGACCTACTTTCTAAATACTAAAGATAGTTAATACAGGTCAAATATTTGCTACAACCTCCATCCTTCAACACTAAAACTAAAACAAACAAACCTCTGCTACATATGGGCTACTTTGGCAATACACAGCTTGGACTGGTTCCTTTTATTTTGATAACTTGTCAGAGATCTAGACATTCTTTCATGTGGTTTGGAGGTTTACTGGCTTTTTCCATAGTGCCAAAAAGTATCCACCACCATTCAGTGCTAAATTCACAGGTGTCTTCTAGACATTTACCAAATAATATCACACTGTGATGGATAGCCTTTACTTCTAAGTGGCCACTATATTAACTTATTATCCACATGCCATGCCCACTGTGTGTTTAATTTAGTAATTGTTTTTATAGACGGCTCCACAAGTATTAAGTCACCAATGAGCCACTAACAAGAAGTACCTGTCTTGCCTGTTTACCCTTTTCCTTGATTTTCGATATTTTCTTGTATTTAATACTGCTTAGTAATGTCAGTAATAATATAGTAATCATAATGTTTATAACAAAAATAACACTATCAATATTGATATCCATAGTAAAAAAAAGTGTTTTCCCGCAATTTCAAGGAAAGGGGAGGTCACAAGATCTATTAATTGACTCCTTTGTGGCTAAGCATTGGCAGAGCCATCAATGTGTAGAAACATTTAACAAAACAATACTAAAGTTAACGCAACATTTTCCCGCCGGCATTCGGTTCATAATAAAATAAATAAAGATCCCATAATCAAGAAAACATTTTTGTAATTTTTTAGTTCACACAGCCATCCAATTATTATTCCTTCTTTCAATTATCAATGATTTGATATCTGTGAATTTGTTGCTATTTTCCATCACAAATGTTATAACTGAAGGTATTGGTAATGTTTATGATGAGACCTTCCCTGACATTCCAGGGAAATCCACAAACACTGCTGTATGATCCAAACACCTTCCTAACACAGGGGCTTCGCCCCCAGACCCTCATTCAGTCACCCTATTTCCCTATTGGGGGCTGTGCCCCTAGACTCAAACCTGACTCTCTGCGCAGCATTTGTCGGGACCAGTTTTCTTTATTTCTGTTGTTACTTTTTGCCTGTCCATTTCATGCAAATTATACCTGGAACTACATAGGTGTGGGAAACTGAAATTATACCCACATTTTTTTTTTTTGGTAGATGTAAAGGAGTAAAGATTATCAAAGAATCAGAAATCTTGGTTGTGAAAATGAAATCACTACTTAGAAAGGTTCATATGTTTGTGTGTACTACTACACAAACTAATTGACATATAATAGTAAGGCATTGAGTTATGACTTCATATTGCAGATGTTTAATACTGTAAGAAATATGATTATTAATACAGAGGTTTTGCAGGTGTAAGATAATGAAATTTAAGACCTTTTTAGGATTTTTTAAGACTCATACAAATTGTTTCTTAGGACTTGGAGCTACTTGTTGCTAAATACACACTTCCCCATAATGTGTAAGCCTACTTAAAGTGTCTGTGACCAAGATAAAAAAATTCAACCCATGCTTTTTACAGCCTCTCGGTTAGGTTGTGCGCCAGAATTATCATTATTATTTTCTTTTTTACACTGCCCATAAGTAAACAGTCGTGTCGATCAGCAATGGTCAAACTATAATGCTGTTGACAAATAATTTTTGATCAAACCGCACAGAGGTCCACAAGTAAATAAATTGCAATGGCGTCTGCCAGTAGGAGATGTAAGTAAATTTACAGGAACAAAAATGTGCCTTGGGCAAATTTAAGACATTTTAAGACCTGTGACAGAAAAAGCTGTTTTTAAAAACTTTTTAAAGCCTTAAATTTCCAAATATTTATCTAAGTTTTAAGACTTTTTAATGATGCACGGGAACCCTGTATTAATAATCACAATATGCGAGTACACTTTTTTTTTTTTCCTTTTGAAGCTAATGATATTGCATTGAATAGGAATACATCTTCACTGCATAGCTCACCCACAACTGTAAGTCCACTGGTATTATTGGAAGATATTTAATTAACAATCACTTTTCATTAAATAAACATGTCTCGCAAATTAATAACTAAGTTATTTAATTTTCAAAATAAATTTTAAAAATAATAACACGAGGTGAGATTCACACGGGAGCTGCAGGAATACTGACCAAATTCTTCAATGAGTATGCGCAGGGTCTCTTGTACCCGTACTGTTCCTGTTAACTCGCCTGTGACGTCACGGCCAGTGTCATGATCTCATTGGTCAATTGTTTAGTGGTTAATTTAATAGCCAATGGGGAAAGAATTCACAAGGGAAACAGCCAGTGAATGAACATTAGCCAAAATAGAAGCTATGAAATTCAATTTTCAAATTAGTCTCGCCATGACTTCCGTGTGTGTTGGATGTCGTATCAAACCATTCCAAGTTATAAAAAATGATTTTGAAGACGATGAGGCTAGCTTGAAGCTATTATGTGAACATGGAGTGCTACCTCTGAAGTGCCCTGCGACTGGCCATCACATCGCTCGTGCTCACGCTGACCTGTCCGGCACTCCCACTCCCCCAAGCCGTTCCACTGATATCAAGGACCCTCACCCCGGCCCCTCCTCTACATAGGTATGTTTTAGGTTTATTTTCAATGTAGTGACTAGATGTACAGTAATTCGCATGCATATGAACGGCGAGTGAAAACGCCCGATGCTGACTTTGTCTGACGCTCTCTCCTGCCGTGAATACCAAGAGGATTATTTGTTTTCCAGGGCAGGGGCGGGGTGTAGCAGCTCCCCATGGGGGGGTTGCAGGGGGCACAGCCCCCTTTGGTGTATGACTTTCGTAACTACGACCGGCATGTGGGACCGCCAATGCTGAGTCTGTCCAACACTCTCTCCTGTCGAGAACACATGGAGGATTCTTTGTTTTCCTGGGCAGGGATTGGGGGGAGGCAGTCCCCCCATAGGGAATTGAAGGTGTCACAGCCCCCTGCATTAAATAATATAGTGACTAAATTGGTACCACGATTACAGCAGAGAATGAAAATTCCATAGTACACATGCAATCTAGCCATTTCCAATGGAAACGAACACCAGAATCAACCGAACCAAAACAATTGAAATCGAACAAATCTAATTTTTTCCCAAAAAGCATTGGTGATGTCTTTTTCCAAATTTACATCCACTTATTAGTTTGGTTCAATTATAAATTTCTACAGTACATTAACCCCACATCTGCTAAAGCAAACTTTACTTATATGTAATCACTGGTTGATAAATTTCTTGTAGAATTATGTCTCAAAATACATTAAATTTTGTTTTCTTCCCTGAAGTAAAGAGTTATTAACGTTCAAAGACCATGGTTACTATCACAAAAAACTTTAATACCTCAGGAACAGATCGCAAAACCAAACTTTACACCACACATTCTCTAAATGTAAACTACCAACTTATATTTTGATGT